TAAAGGAAAGATCGATGCAGGTTTTCTTTTTCCGTGGTGCGTTAAGCAGAAAAATGGCCTCCCAGGGGTGCCTGGGTGGCTCAGTGGGTTAAACCTCTGCCTTCGGCTCAGGTCATGGTCTAAGGGTCCTGGGATCGAGCCCCATATCGGGTTCTCTGCTCAGCAGGGAGCCTGCTTCCTCCTCTCTCTCTCTGCTTGCCTCTCTGCCTACATCAAGACATCAAGTTTCTACATCTGTAAACCTGGGCCAATCAGAGTACCTGCTGGGGTTATTATACAGATTAAATAAGTCACTGAGCATAATGGGCTTGGAGCAATGCCTGGTACAGAGTGAGGGTTCAAGAAATGTTAGGGGGCACCTAGATGTCACAGTCAGCTAAGCATCCAACTCTTGGTTTGGGTTCAGGTCATGACCTCAGGGTCATAAGATTGAGCCCAGCATCATGCTCAACACTCAGCAGAGAGTCTGTTTGTCACTCTCCCTCCCCATCTCCTCCCATGCCCCTCGTGCTCATACCCACACTTTCTCTCTAAAACAAATAAATAAAACCTTTTTAAAAAAAAAGAAAGAAATGTTAGGAAAGGTAAGGAATGGAAGAAATGCAGAAGAGAGAGACAGTCGCCTTGCTTCCAGGGGGCTTAGATTTGATGGAGGAAACAGGATGATAAACTCAGGAAGAAAAAAAAAAAAGAAGGAAGGAAAATAGCTGACTGTGATAAGTGCCTCAGAAACACTTATGTTGGGGAGCCTGGGTGGCTCAGTCGGTTAAAGCCTCTGTCTTCAGCTCAGGTCATGATCCCAGGGTTCTGGGATGGAGCCCCGCATCCTCTCTGCTCAGCAGGGAATCTGCTTCCCCGTCAGTCTCTCTCTCTCTCTCTCTCTGCCTACTTGTGATCTCTGTCTGTCAAATAAATAAATAAAATCTTAAAAAAAGAAAGAAAGAAAGAAACACTTATGTTTAAGACTACATACCTGGGTCAGCAGCCCCCCAGTGGAGCAGCCTGCCACCTGCTATCGAATGGCTTGTGAACTAGGAGTAGTTTCCATGTTTTCAAATGGTTGAGAACTAGTATTATGAAAACGACAAGAAACTCAAATCTCAATATCCATAAGGTTTTATTGGAACAAAGCCACTCTTACTTAAATCATCTATGGTTGCTTTCCCACTGCAATGGCAGAGTTGAGTTGTTGCAACAGAGATGGGAATGCCCACAAAACCCTAAATATCTACCGTCTGGCTCTTTACAGAAAAAGTTTGCTAGACCTTGCTTTAAGCTGAATGGTCAGGGAGGTCCTCCCTGAGGAGGTAACATTTAAGTTGAGAACAACATGGCAAGAAAGAGGAAGGTTGGTGGTAGGAGGGCAGAAAGAACAGAACTAATGTAAGAGCTTCACTCTAATCCTGTATCAGTCTTACAAAGAGGGGCTCTGTCAAAAACTATGATGGGACGCTGAGGTTCTGAAGGTGCAGTGGTGCCCCAGCGTCACAGAGCCATGGATCTTGACTTGGAATAGGGAACCGGGACTGCGTGCCCTGTTCCAGCCTCTTTTTAGCCTGGGACAGCACAGGAGCCTAGGAACTGCAAGGTGAGTGGTTTTTATTTGCCTTCCTGGGGGTACTGACCAGGGATTTCAGATTTGTTCCCAGGAATAGGTGAGAAAGGCCTGGGATTTGCCTAAGGGCAGGTGTTCTACGAACTGCTTGGCGGCAAGCCCATGACCATCAGAAGGGGCCCTGATAACAGGATCTGTGGCAAGGGCACAAGGTGGAATGCCACGTAGAATGGAGCAGCCCTCAGAGAATTCAGGAAGCAGCTTTCATCCTGAGTAGCCCACAGTTGGCAGCTTGATAGAAAAGTCCTACCCCCAGCTCCCAGGGGTTTGACTCCGGCCAGGGTCTTCTGAGGCTGGAAGGAGACTGACTCAGAGAGTACCCCACTCTCAATCTTCTACAAGCCTGTTCGTTTTTGACAGGCTCTGTGTTAAAGGAGAGAAGCAGGCCGTTGGCCCCATTTTAGAGCCAGAGAAATTGAGGCCATGGAGAGCAACAGGCAGTACTTGGTAAAAACAAAACTCTGTGCCTGCATTCCAGACTCAGCATTTCCCAGTGTGTGATTACAGGCAAGTGGCTTAACTTCTCTCTGCTTTGGTTTATAGATAAGATAGTATCTGCACCCCCCCCAAAAAAGAAGAAGAAATAAAGACTTAAGGAAACAAAAGCTCAGCACCACACCTACAGGAAGAACTCAGTAAACGTTGGCTGATCCTAAGCACATGCTCTGTTAGCTTTGACAACAGCCCTAAGAGATTCCAGAGCGGCACAGGATTCTGGGTATGAGCCAGACATATCTCTTCTCCACCCAGTTCTTGAGGGCCAAAACCTTGAAATCATCCTTGACTCCTCTCCTTCCTTTATACACCACAGTCCCTCAGCAAATCCTGCCTTCAATCACTCCTGTCATCTCCATGATAACACTTTAACCCAAATTGCCATCAACTCTCACCCAGATTAGTGCAGAAGCCTCCTAGCTGGTCAGGGGCCTGCCAACCGCCCAACTCCCTGTAAGCAAGCAAAGGGCTCCTGATTAAAAAATCAGGTCAGAGCACTCTTCTAAAAACCCTTGCGTTTTCTAATACGTCTAGAGTTAACTCTCTCCTTTATTTATTCAATGATCATTTATTATTGAGTACCTACTACTATGTGCTAGGTGCTGCTCTAGGCACTGGAGATAAAATAGAACAAAACAGACAAAAACCTCCACACTCAGGAAGTTTACATCCTCCTGGAGGGAGGACAGTAAGCAAATGTAGAAGTAAAACATATCAAATGGTAGGTGTTACGGAGAAAAATAACTCAGGGAAGGCTTTGGATTTTATTACTGTTACTTTTTTTTAATTTAAAGATTTTTTAGGGTGCCTGGGTGGCTCAGCAGGTTAAGCCTCTGCCTTAGGCTCAGGTCTTGATCTCAGGGTCCTCGGATTGAGCCCCACCTTGGGCTCTCTCCTCAGCAGGGAGCTTCCCCCTCTCTCTTTCCCCTCTCTCTCTGCCTGCCTTTCTGCATACTTGTGATCTCTCTCTGTCAAACAAATAAAATTTAAAAAAAAATAAAGATTTTTATTTATTCATTTGAGAGAGAGAGAGAGAGAGAGAGAGAGGATGAGCTAGGAGAAGGGCAGAGGGAGAGGGAGAAGCAGACTCCCCACTGAGCAGGGAGCCTAAAGCAGGACTTCATCCGAGGACCCCAGGATCATGAGCTGAGTCCAAGGCAGACACTTAACCAATTGAGTCAGCCAGGCACCCCAGGTTTTAGATTTTAAACAGGGTGTTTGGCGAAGTCGTTATGAACAAGGTAAAGGTTAAATAAAAGGCCCGAAAGTGGGAAAAGTTGAGCTCCAAGGGGCAATTCAAAAGTGGAATGTTCTAGACAAAGGCCCGAGCAGTAAGTACAGTGGTGGAAGTGTTCCTGGTGTGTTTCAGGCACACAAGGGAAGCCACTGTGACCACAGTGAAAAATGTGCAGGAGGGGGAGAGTGGACTGACCTCAGAGGAGTAAAGGGGCAGGTTGTTGAGTCCTATGGATTCTCCAAGTCTTTTTTTCTTTGATTGAGATTGGAAGCCAGTGGAGGTTTTATTTATTTTTTATTGTTATTTTTAGTGTTAAAGGTTTCATTTATTTCAGAGATCATGAGGGGAGAAGATGGGAGGGGCAGGAGAAGCCCACTCCCTGCTGAGTCAGGAGCCCTTCAACCAAGCAGGGCTCGATTCCCGGACCCTGGGGTCATGAACTGAGCTGAAGGCAGACGTTTAACCTGCTTAACCACTGAGCCATCCAGGTGCCCCATCAGCGGAGGTTTTAAGTAGGGGAATGACTGGGGTTTTAAAGGATCACTGTGCTGGCTGTATGGCCGGCTCAGTCAGAAGAGCATAAGACTCTTGATCTCGGGGTCTTAAGTTCAAGCCCAATGTTGGGTGTAGAGATTACTCAAGTGATAAAAAACTGAAAAGAAAAAAATTTTTTTCAAGGCTCACTGGGGTCCTCTGTGTGAAAGACCACAGGGAACTGCCACAGAGCCAGTGAGACCTACCACAGCTGTTACAAGGTATGATGGCTTGGACCAGGAAGGAGGTAGCAACAGCAGAGGTGGTGTCAAACCCAAAAGCCTTACACAAGGGTAGGAGTCCTCCTGATGGGGTCTCTCTTACTCCATAAGCCTTGTTCCTTTCTGTAACCCCAACCCCAGAGACCACAGCTAGGCACATAGAGGTGTCTAATCGGTATTTGTTGATTTATTTATGAAATTAACAAACGATCCAGGCCTAGGTTATCACCCCCTATTTTATTTTATTATCTTTTAAAGATTTATTTTAGAGAGAGTGTGAGCAGTGGGAAGGGCAGAAGGAGAGAGAGAGAAACAGGGAGAGAAGCTGATGCCCCGCTAAACTCAAGAAGAGGGCGGGGGCCTGGATCCCGGGATCCTGAGGTTCTGACCTGAGCAGAAATCAAGTCTGAGGCTTAACCGACGAGCCACCCAGGCACCGCTCAGCCTCCTCTATTTTAACGATAGGCATATAGTCAGAATTCAGTAAATGTTTACAAATAGAATACTGCACAATTCTGCAAGGCCAGGTGGAAAGGCCTGCGAGGAAAACTGGGGCTCAGACTGGGGAAGTGTCCCCTGGGGGGGGGGTTCCTCTGCACAGCCTTGGCCAAAAGCTTCCGTCCCAACTTTTGGTGTCAAGTCTTGCATACTGGGTGGAGAGCGCCTGCTCTCAGAGTGAGTCACAGTGACCTCACAGGAGTTGCTCTCAAAGCTTCCCCGCCCAGGATGAAGAAAAACCGAAACTTTATGGGGCCAGGAGGTCATCAGACCCAAACCGACCCAATGCCCTAAAAGTGCCCAGGCCGGGTCCTCCCACCTTCAGGCCACAGAGACGAAGGGACAGAAGGGCCGCCCTCTCACGGCTGAGGCCCCGCCCCCCGCTTGTCCATCCGCACGCGCCTCCAGCGGAAGCCGGAAGCAAAAGCAGTCCCTGCTAGCCCCCGGCTCCGAACTCGATGGTCTTGGAGGCTCCGCAGGATGGGGGAGAAGATGGCGGAAGAGGAGTGAGTGGGCTTTTCCCGGGCGGCGGAGGCGGCAGGGCTGGGCCCCGGCGGGTGACAGCGAGTGCCTCAGGCCGCCCTCTGGCCCTGAAAGGCGGAGCTCCTTGTGCCGGTTGGCCAGGACTGACCATGCCTGTGTCAGCGAGGAGGGCGGGAGGGACGGGCCTGGGCCCAACCCGGCCCTGCAGCCTCCTTGAGGTCGGATCCTCGTGCAGGGTATCGGCAGCCCAGGGCAGGCCTCAAAAGCCGTCTGGCGGAAACCGAAACCCAAATTCCACTTTCCCAGTTTTCGGTCTTCTGATAATCAGGGAGAGCTCCGCCGCCTCCTCCAGGAAGTCCCCCACCCACTACTTAGCCAGTGGCCTCTTCCACGGTAACGGTGGTTTTTCGCATCTGTCTCCTCCACCGAATCTCATTCATTCGTTAACTGTTGGCCATTTACTCTATTCCAGGCCCTGGGCACATAGTAGTGAAGGAGGCCGACCAGGAGCCGCCCTCCGGTAGTTTCCATTCTAGTGGGGAAAGACCATAAGCAAGCAAGATGATGTCAGAGTGCTGAAAGAAAAAGGAAGTGTCAGGATGGGAGAGTCCCGCTGGGAAGAAGTGCCGTGCCCGCCGAAACTGTAATGATGAGAAGGAGGGATAGGAGAGCGAACACGCAAATGGAAAAGGCTAGAAGCAAGAAAGACCTTAGTCCCTTTGAGGGACAGAAAGAAAGGCAGGATGGCTGGAGTAGGAAGAGCTAAGGGGCTAACTACACAGCATGAGATAGAGATGGGGGGCAAGGTGGGGGTCCTGTGTCCTCCCGGTACTTATCGGGAAGGACTCCACTCTTCAGTCCCTCCCCATATCTGCTGGGCACGACCCATTGCATGTTATAGATGCCCCATCTGTGTGGACGGGTTTGTAAAAATTAAGAAGGAACCCTCGTGGTTGAAATCCGATTCCCTCCCCTGACATCTTTTCAGATCTATCTCTTGGCTGGCTGGGTGGTCATTTCATTTCGTCTGCTGATTTATTCAGCAAATGCACTATTGTGGACACCAAACCTGGGCCTCAGCCACACAAAACAAAAGAGGTCGTATGGCCCAGTGGTTTCAAGTTGGGGCTCAAACTTGGTTAGGTGAGACAAAGGCCAGGTTATACAACCTCTCTGAGTTCCAGTTATTCGTGGGTAAAAAAGGGAAAGGAACAGTCCCCACCTCAGGCCTGGTATGCCTATTAAGTGAGAGGTTGTGTGTTATGTAGTCCCTGATATGAAGCATTTACTCAATAAACATGAGCTATTATAATCACAATTGCGGTGATGATTATGTGAATACTGCACTAGTTGCAGTCCCATCCCAGGGTGAGGAGAGAGCTCTGTGAAGAATGCAAGAAGTGGGGTGGGTGCAGTACTACAGAGAAGGTTACATTTGAGCCTTTAGAAATCTGAGAAGGATTTTGTAAAGTGGGATGGGGTGTTCTAGCCAGATCAACAGTTGGGTAAATTGGGTGACTTCTTCAACTTGCTGCTATAATTTAAGGAAAAGAATGTAAACAGGAGAAATAAAGGCGCCAAGTAAATAACGTCGGATCTTGGAATGTGATGAGACTTCAGTTTGTCTCCATTTAAATCCTCCATTAAATGCCAGAGAGCAGGCGGCATTTGGTTTCTACACTGGCCCTGATTTGCCCTTGTTCCTGTCCTCTAAGTGGCTGTGTTTGGAGCGTCTGAATCACTGGTACTCTCTGCTGTGGCAGACAGGAATTTTCTGAATCAGTTTCTGTCTGAGACCTGCCCGGTGGTTGTTAAGACGTGAATCCCAGCGTCCTCTGTGCCAGGTTCTCCTTTGTGTATGTGTGTTGATACTCAGGGCCCTTTTCCCTTTGTCTAATCCTGCTGCTTTTTATGTCCAACAGGTTCCCTAACACAACTCACGAAGGTTTCAATGTCACCCTCCACACTACCCTGGTTGTCACCACGAAACTGGTGCTCCCGACCCCTGCCAAGCCCATTCTCCCTGTGCAAACAGGGGAGCAGGCTCAGCAGGAGGAACAGTCGAGCGGCATGACCATCTTCTTCAGCCTCCTCGTCCTAGGTGAATGTGGACACCCCCTCATCTGCCATCTTGTGTGTCTGTGTGTGCTGTCTCTAAGGTCAATCCTGTCTGAGCCACCATTTACTTGATTTCAGGTCTTTCTTCCATTTGGTTTGACAGTGATCAATTCATAACACAACAGGGTACTCCTTTTTCTTCATAAAGTCATTGAGCCTAGTAATTTTGAAGAGCTCTTTATAGAATATCTTAGATGTCATTTGGAAGAAAGAAGGGATTTTTGACCTAGAAGGAACCTTGACCATCTTCTCACTTAGTGGATTTCAAACCCTGCTCACATGTGTGTGTGCGGGTAGTGGTGGGAGCAGGAGGTGGGCTAAGTCAAATGGGAGGGCATCTGACTTTCTGACCAGAGCAGCATTTTGTCTCCCATTAGGCTTCTGTGTAAATTTTACTTAATTAAAAGTTTTGTTCCTGAGTAAAAGATCAAATACCCTTTCTCTTGCCCTCTGGCTCCCATTAACTGTGGTTAGGACTTCTGCCATATCTGCGTACCACCTATGTCATTGTTTACTGAATTTCATTTTTTCTTTGAACAGATGTACTCTGAAAAGTCTTGTTTTGTTCAACCTTCTCCAGTAATGAGTGAGAAAATTTAGGCCCAGAGAGATTAAGCAATTGATATGTCTGGTTTTTGGGAGACTAGAGATTAATATTTGGATTGCCAGACCTTAGTCGAGAAGTTTAGGTAAAAGGCAATAACTTAGATGCCTCCTAGAGACTGTAGACGACTGTCTACGGTTTTAGACCCCCCCCCCAAAAAAATCCCAAAAAACAAAAAACCCAAACAATTGAAACTGCACAATCACTTTGTACTAGCTGACAAAGGAAGAAATAAAGCTTCAAATTTGACCCAAATCCAAACTCTTATTGGAAGAGTAAAGTTGGCATATTTACATTTTCTGTTCTTCTTTTCAGGGTACTGAGCCATATTTCTGATTAGATTAGGTCTTTTCAGAGGAATGGGAAGTACAACCTGATTGAAAGGTACAGAGCATTTCGCTGATGTCATTGAGGACTTCTTTGAAGAAGACTAGAACTTCTTTCACATTTACATTTGGATTCTATTAATGGTCAAATAATTTTAATAATCTAATCATTTGATTTAAAATCCCAGGGCTCAGCCTAATCTCTCAAAAAACTTTTAAATTGGGAGGCCTGGGTGGCTCAGTTGCTTGAACATCCAACGCTTGGTCTCAGGTCTTGAGCTCATAGTTGTGAATTTGAGCCCCATGCTGGGCTCCACGCTGGTCAAGGAGCCTACTTAAAAGCAAAACAAAATAAAACAAAAAAACCCCCGCACAACTTTTTAAAACGAATACTGAAAAATACAAACAACAAGTGTGCAGTGTCCCACATGGGCCTGATATGCTTGAGTAATTGTGTACCTTGTGAATGTAGTTGAGTTCTGCTTCTAGGGGATTACTTCAACAATCAAGGACTCTTTGTTTTTCCTTTTTTCTCTGCGGTATTAGTTGAATTTAAAGAAAAGCCGTTCTCTTCTTGATCAAGAAGTCTTTTAGTACCTGAATCCTTAATCCTGAAGGACCAGTATTATTAGCCTCTTTACTTTGTTGTCAGTTTGGTAAGGTAGGCAGCATACAAGGCAGGCCTGGAAGAAAACTTTAGTTTTGTAGTTACTTTGTTTCCTGGGAAGATAATAAGGGTAAGTCAGACTTTCAGAGTAATTTTCAGGGTGTGGAGCACTGAAGGTTAGTTTGTTCCAGAAACCACAAAACCGGCTGTTAGAATGCTTTTTGGTCCTGGCAAAACCCCGTGCAGTGGTAACACATGTGGGGGCCGGAAGGGTCTGAACTGTTATTTATTAGGGCAAAAAGTTTACTTGGATCGTCTTTTCAAACAGATCATGAGCCTAGACTCTAGAGTCACTCTCGTGTCAGGGGGTTTTGTTTTCACCTCATCAGACTGTGGACAGGCTATGAATTGGTATCTCCACTTTTTATGTGTAGGTCAGCATGCATGAGCAGAATGGAATGCTTTCTTTTTCAAGAAATTTGGAGGCATTTTTACTCTTTTCTTGTATATTATCAACAGAATATTATATGGCTTATATATTAGATGTCCGAACAATACACATCTGATAAAGTCAAAAAAGAGCTGCAGTTGACAGTGCTAACTCACTAAATACATGAACCACAGTGAATTGGGGGAAATGCTAGCACCTAGTTTATTCTAGACTTCAGGAACTCCTAACCTGGAACACATGTAACCACTTTTGTTTACTATTCTATTTTTTTTTTTTTAAGATTTTTTTTTTTTTTATTGGGGTGCCAGGGTGGCTCCGTTGTTAAGTGTCTGCCTTTGGCTCAGGTCATGATCTCAGGGTCCTGGAGCCTCACGTGGGGCTCCCTGTTCAGCGGGGAGCCTGCTTCTCCCTCTCCCTCTGCCTGCCCCTCCCCTGGTTGTTTTCTCTGTCTGTTTATTATTTGAGAGAGAGAGCACAGCACAGGGAGGGGTAGAGGAAGAGGGACAAGCAGACTCTCCACTGACCAAGAAGCCCAACGCAGGGCTTGATCCCAGGACCCATGAGATCATGACCTGGGCCAAAGTCAGACATTTAACTAACTGAGCCCGTCAGATGCTGCTTTTTTTTTTTTTTTTTTAAGATTTTATTTATTTATTTGACAGAGACAGAGATCACAAGTAGGCAGAGAAGCAAACAGAGAGGGGGGAAAGCAGGCTCCTCGTGGAGCAGAGAGCCCGACGTGGGGCTCGATCCCAGGACCCTGAGATCATGACCTGAGCTGAAGGCAGAGGCTTAACCCACTGAGCCACCCAGGTACCCCAGATGCTGCTTTTGTTTACTATTTTAGTCAAGTCAAATGAAAGTATAACTTTTATGTCCTACAAGCTTGACAAAGGATTATAGTGTATTCCCGTTTTTGAGGAGGGATGCCAAAACACCAGTTACTTTTGACTTTAGAAGTTTGAAATCAGTTGATTTAACCCTTGATGATCTTGGACTCTGCAGAAACAGTGGTGAGTCATTTTTATTGACTTACATTAGAGTTAACAATTAGCATCACTTGACACATTTTATAGGCCTTTAAATTTAATGGAGTTATTAAAATTGATGTGCCTATGTTTTAATACAGTTTCCATAATTATTACTTCGGGCATGAACATTTAGAAGCATATTAACTTGTGGTATACCTGTCCTCCACACCACACGGAAGTTTTTGTCCTTTCTTATTTTTTTCCCGAATATTCCTGAAAGCATGGATGTGTATATGCATGTATACGTTCATAAGCACATTCACACATACAGGCACATCTAGTTTGTATTTTTTTTGTTTTAATATAAATAGGTTCCTGTAACTTGCTTTTTCATCTTAGAATGTCTTAGAGGTCTTTTTACGTTACTACTCTTTTTTGTATCTACTTCATCTCTTTTTCTTTTAAAGAAGGTATATGTGTTAAAAGAAACATAAAATATATCCCATTTTAACCATTTTGCAGTGTACAGTTCAGTGGCATTTAGTACACTCAGAGTGTTGTGCAACCACCACCATTATCTAGTTCCAGAAGGTTCTCATCACCCCAAAGGGAGACCCAGTACCCTTTAAGATCTGTCACTCCCCATCCCCTACCCCCACTCTCTAGTAAACACTATTTTGCTTTCTATTCCTAGGAATGTGCCTACTCCGTTTCAGGCAAATAGAATCATACAGTATGTGACCTTCTGTGCCTGGCTTCTTTCACTTGGCATTGTATCTTCAAGGTTCATCCGTGTTGTAGCGTGTGTTAGTCGTGTGTTCATTATTACGGGTGAATAATAATCTCATGGAGATATACCACATTATATTTATCTGTTCATCGATTGTTGGACATTGGGCTTGTTTCTGTGTTTTGGCTGTTGTGAGTAGTGCTGCTGTTGACATTTGTGTACAGGTTTTCCTGTAGACATATATTTCAATTTCTGTTGGATACATACCCAGGAGTGGAGCTGCTGGGTTAAATGCTTACTCTATGTATAACTTTCTCAGGAACTCCTGAACTTCCTACAGAGGCCGTACCATTTTACATCCCTTCCAGCAGTGCCCCCATGTCCCAGTGGCTCCACTTCCTTGCCAACACTTGTTATTTTCCATCGTGTTGTGTTTTTTAATATGGCCATCTCAGTGTGAAGTTGTATCTCATGGTCCTGATTGGCATTTTTCTAATGACCAGTGATGTTGAGCATCTTTTCTTGTGCTTATAGGGCATTGGTATCTTTGGAGAGATATCTTTTCTGGTTCTTGGCCCATTTTTTAAATCATATTGTTTGTCTTTTTGTTGTTAAAGTGTAAGAGTTCTTTATGTATTCTGGTTACTAGACCCTTATCAGGTAAATGATAGAAATACTCATCCATTCTGTGGGTCTTCTTTTCAGATCTCATTCTTTTAAGTGGCTGGAGACTGGCCCTGCCATTGATAAGCCTCATATTTAGCTCTTTCTGTTGATAGACAGTTTTCCCCCTTTGCTTTTTTTTTTTTTTTAAAGAGTGATAGGGAGGGGAGGCACAGAAGGAGAGAGCTGGATCTCCTGATCCTGAGAGTCAGGGGTCTGACTGAGCCATTCAGGAGCCCTCCTTTGCTTTTAAAGGTGCAAATTGATGTTTGATTTATTAGGATAAACTTTTTAAATCAATTTTTTCCTCTGGCTTGGTGCAGAAGAGGACCAGAAGCTGAGCAAACTCCCTAAATCTGTATTCAGTGTACTTATGTACCTGCCTTTATAGACAATAGGCCTGCCTTTATCGACATATTGTTGTGCTTATGCATTAGAACATTTTTTTTCTTGCTCTTAGCATTTAATATAGGATTTTTCTAACAAGGTTAAATATTTATAACAAAGTAACACCACAGATTGATAGTTTAAAGCACAGAACGAAAGGAGACACAGTTTCTCTATGTACAACTATTTCCTTTTTCTGGCCACCTGGTACTTTTTGGTGGGCCTAAAGATATCTAGTTTGTATGTGCAGGCTCTAACAGTGGCCATTAACCTCCCTGCAGATTGTTTAAACGTTTCCTTTTACAAAAAAAATCAACAATTATTTTTAGTGCTGTTAAGATAATACTATGATTAATGAGATGGTATACCACCTAGGCGTGTAATGAAAAAAGACATGCACACTTGCATTGGGACCATGAAATTACATCTAGGAATTATTTATGTGAAAGTATGCTTTGTGGGGTGTCCAGAAATACTTTCTTCTTTCAGTTTTACCTCCTCTTGTTTTCTTTCTTTTCTTTCATGACACCACCTCTGTGAGAAAAGTCAGACATTACTCCTATTTTGGTGGCTGAGGAGTGAAGGCAGTTGGGAGGGAGGTAGTGGGTGCCTGTGGTTAAGGGTCCGGGGTTGGAATTAGGCTCAACCCTGCAGTACCTACCAGTGACGTGAGATTATGATAATAATAACTAGTTAAGAGGAGTGTTGGGGGCCAAGTGAGCGAGTGTTTGGGAAGTGTTCAGTATAGCACCTGGCTCATGGGAAGCCCTTAACCATTGGGAGCCCTGGTACCCAGCTGAGGATCAGGCACCCCATCTTTTGGTCACTGATGTTCTCAAAGTATTTACTTTGTCCTCTTTGTACAATACTCTGTATAATATTCTCACTTCCTTCTCTATTAAAAGGAAACAATCACATGGTGGCAAAATACTTTGTGTCAACATCTTCTGTGGCAGTTATATTTGCATAAAAGTGATTGATTTCATGGACTTCCTTCTCAACATTTCAAGTTTTCCAGTTATGTCAAAACAGTTGAAGACTTTTCTCAGAATCCAAGAGATTCAAATAAATGATGGTATTAGGCTTAACAAGTTAGAAAAACATTAGGTATGTGTTGTTCTCTCGTAACTCCTAGCAAACACAGTAGTCCAGGCGTATAAAGAAATATGGAGACAGTGTTATGAACACCGTGAGTCTGTTTCCAGGTTAAGAAATAAGAGCTTGAAAATACAACTGCAGTTTATTGTGTCATTGTTCCTTGTACATATATTTTCCTGGCAACACCCCCAGAAATAACCGCGGCTTTGAGCTTGGTGTTTATTACTTAAAATTGTGCCATTCTAACAATGTCTTCTTTTTTCCCCACAGCCATCTGCATCATATTGGTGCATCTACTGATCCAATACAGATTACATTTCTTGCCGGAGAGTGTTGCGGTTGTTTCTTTAGGTAAGTGCTTATCCGCGATCCTATAATAAAAGCGGTAATAATACCATTTTTCCAGTGCCTTCCTAGTGCCAGGAACCACACGAGATGTGGTACATTCCTGGTTTCATTTAATACTCACTGCCAGCTGCCAAGAGGGTATTATGATCCCATTTTACAGATGAGGACACTGTGGCTCAGAGAGGGGTGCTGACCACCTAAAGATCACATAGAGGCCCCCTCTATGTAGCTCGAAGGCCTTTCTGCTTCTGGAGCTACCCTTGGGGCACACTGACCTCTGTTCCTAGGCTGTGCAGACACCCAAGTCAACTAAGATGAGTAATTGACACTTAATTTATAGGGTCACTGAATTTTACAGCCAGAAGGGACTCTCACTTGATGGTTTAGGAAAGAAAAATGGCTCACTTCCTTGTCAGTCAAGAGTTAAAGTCTTCAGGAACATTCCATTCTACCTCACATTTCTCTCTTGTTTCCTGCAGCAGTTAATTATTAAGATAATTAGCCTCTGTATGTCAACTGTACTTCAGTGATAAATAATAAAAGAAAAAAAGCTAATTAGCCTCTATATAAAGGGAATGAATCAGTGTAATAACAGATGCGAGCTCGCGTGCAAGTTAATTGAAATGGTTAATGAAGGAAGGTGCAGGGACCTTACTTTTCAGTAAGTATTAAAATCAAGACTAAAATGTGGGCGGGGTGCTTAAGGCATAGTATATAAGCTTTCACTAAGATCAGCTAAGGCATTCATCAGTTTATGATACCGTAGTTACTTTTACTAGTTTCCACTTGCCTACTAATGGTATTTAATTTCTCCTTATCACTGCTGATGCTCTGTAAGTTAATTTTCTTTGCCTTGGAGGTCTTGTTTAGCGTGTGTAGTAATACTTTTACAGGATAGCGATGGTTTAGGTTAGCTTTGGAGGTGAACATTCAGACTTTGATTCACCTTCTCTTGTGCCTTCTGCATTCCTGTATCAGCCTGGGTTTTCCCTGGGCCTCACGTTGCTACTAAGTGTCAGGTTTCTGCCTGTGGGCTTTTGCATTGCCGCCTCATGCAAGCCTCATACCCCCCAGTGATGCCATATCTTAAGGAAGAGACACCACTGGAGAGTACTGGTCTTCAGTAAAGAGTTGGGAAACAATTTTCCTCAGAGTTCCCGTTTTGTTCAGCAGTCTCTAGAGCGGCACATCCTGGCAGATTCAAACAACCTTAGCTAACGAGATAGTCTTCGAGCTCTAAGCATGGGATGGTCATTTATTAACACCCCTTTCTTGCTCTCTGGCATACTGAAAATAACTTGCACAACTAATACCTAACAGGACTCCAAGGAATGTACAGTTTTGGGCTCAGTTTTCATAGTTTCTTAGAATAAAAACTATAGTTGGTGTGTATTTAGGTATTATGCACATGGAAAGGATGGTTCTTTTAATTTGGTTTGGAATGTCATGTTCACTCTTTGAATGTTTGGGTAACTGCAAGTCAGCGAACACCAGTGCTTGTTTTAGGAATTACAGCAGACATTGTTGGTTGCCTACCCAAGAGCCATTTCCCCCTCCTTCCTTGAAAACACCCTAATTTTGATCAGGAATCTTGCGACAGTGCACACAAAGAAGATGAGCTCCTCCAGGTCAAGACGGTCTTTTATGCCATCTCGATAATTCCACTGTCCTTTGCCATTGATTGGTTGAATGGCGTGAAGACAGGAAGGCAGTATGAAACCCTGTTCTGGCCCGTGAAACCACGGGGAAGGGCTGAGTGGAGTGCACTCTGTCCTCTCTGATTAAAAAAAAACAAACAAAACTCCCCTACCTTTGATGCCGTTCTATGAGGATGTGATGCCTGGAGCACTGGTGCACGTCCTGTAGTCACACTGTGGCGCAGAGACAAAAGCCAGAATGCCAAGGGTTGCCAAGAGGGACAGCTGGGAAGCCTGGATTCTTGACTGCATTGTTTTGTTGAATTGACAGTTCTAGAGCTGCGTGCTATACGAAGTAACAAACATCGGTGGTTGAAGCCATTTTTAGGCAGGTGTTCTACTTGCAGCTATAAGCATCTTAACTGATTCAGGACTCTTTCCACTTGAGGGACAAAATCAGTTCAAATTGATTCAAAGCAAACACATTGGGGAGGGTGGAATTGCACACCCACTGGCCCAAGGAACCGAAAAACCTACAGGGGGCGCTAGCTTGCAGCTTAGCTGGATCGTATCTCCTGGACTTCGTTTTTCTTCATTTCTCAACAGTGCTCCCCTTTGTTTTGGCTTCACTCTGAGGCAGGCTCTCTCCTGAACCTTTCCAGCTTCAGGCCTACTCTCCTTACAGTAGCAGTCACAGGGGGAAAAGTGGCCTCCTCTTCCCCCTGTTCCCAACAGAAGTTGTAGGATGAACTCTGACCTCACAGTCTCCCCAGCCTGGATGGGAAGTGGAATGATGTTGGGGATTGGCCAAGTCTCCCCATCCACAGGTTCATTTCTTCACTGATGCAGCAGAAATAACTGTAGCCTGTACAGCTAGGTCGTGGAAGGGTTGATGGAAAGTAAGTCTTGCTTTCAAAACTTCCGTTACCTAACTCAAGTGATTGGAACGCTAAGAGCAGTTCCAGGGAGAGGGCTGGGGTCCAGAAATATTTTTTATTATGTTAGAGGACATTTGGTTAGAATTTAGAAATGCTGACAAAGCTATCAAAATAGTTCTGTATTTCATAATGCTATGTCAATTGAAGGAAAACTTTTTTCCTCTTACTGGAGCAAAGTATAACAAAATATTGAGATATCCACCATTTCAAGAATTTCCAAGTTTTGTGCCAACAAAGAATCTAGATGAAGCTGCCAGAGAAAATGAGGTTTTCCGTCTTTCAGGGATAAGCTCTCCCAGCCTACCTCTTCTGGCCCAGAGTTGCTTTTCAGTTTGCTGTCATTTAGAGACATGATTGGTCTTTGATGTAAAGATTCAGAGTTCCTAAGAAACTATCTGTATAGAAGAGGACTATCTTCCCTTTAAAAGCACATTCTCTTCTATTTTATTGTATTTTCAGGTGAATTTCCAGACTTTTCTCATTCTTTATAAGAAACTATCAACATGAAAAAATTTTTAAGAGATTTTATTTATTTATTTGACAGATATCGAGAGAGGGAACACAAGCAGGGGGAGCAGGAGAGGGAGAAGCAGGCTTCCACTGAGGAGGGAGCCCGATGCGGGGGTTGATCCCAGGACCCTGGGATCATGACTTGAACTGAAGGCAGATGCTTAATGACTGAGCCATCCAGGCGCCCATCAGCATGAAATTCTAAAGATACTTCCTTGACGCTTCTTCAGAGCTTTTCGGATACTTTTTGTACTTACGAAATTCTGTAGCTTAGGACTTGAAAAAAATTTTTTTCTTTTTTTTTGCATAAACAGCTATACAGAAAGAAAAATCCTTTTCATTAACAACTTCAGCTGTTTTTATTATGCTTCATTCTCTTCCAGACCATACATAGGCTTGTACAGATTAGATGACTTTACTTGGTTTGAGTTTATATCATTTTTTGTGTTCTTTCCTTTATACTACTCTTTCCATATATTAAGTTCACATATTTACGTTTATGGGTGCTGATTATCTGTGTGTTTGGCCTGAAATTTATGAGGTATAAAAATGAAATAATTAGCTTTGCGCAGTGGCAGTATCGTAGCCAATGAGGTTTATCCGATAATAATCCAATAAACGATTATTGCTAATTGAAAAATGAAATAATTATACTGCCTACTATCCACTGCTGTATGTAGCAAAACAGGGGATTTTCTCCCCCACAATCATCCTTCATTTTACAGAGAGGAAAAGTCAGAAGGGGTTAAGTAAGGACTGGAAATTTGCCCTATCCAGGGCCAATACTACTGATAATTAGAAAACCCAGATTTGATTGAAGCATTGACTAGGATACACAGAAGTGCTCCCTCATTATAACCTTCTTAACTATGTGCCTTTTTTAACTTTTTTTTTTTAAACTGTGTGCCTTTAGTTTTATTAACTCATTCTTGTTTTGACTAAAAGATTTTAGTTTTTTTAATTCAGTGCTCTTTATGTCAATGGTGGTTTTGAGTGGAATGTGATGGAAAAAATCACTCAGTTCCTGAGTTATTGACTAAAGGAAATTCAGAGGAAAGCAGATGTAGTAGATATTCTGATTGTACTTAAGTTCTTAAAATTTTTTTTAATTTTTTTTTTAGACAAAGGGAGAATCCTAGCTGAAACTGTAATAGCTTTGTTCCTTTTTAGACTATTAAAGTCTAACTAATGCTGACACAGCTTACAGTGTCTCAGAGGGAACCCTCCTGAATCAGAGGTGCTTTGATTTTTTTTTAAGAATTATTTTTCTTAAAGATTTTATTTATTTGACAGGTAGAGATCACAAATAGGCAGAGAGGCAGGCAGAGAGAGAAGGGGAAGCAGGCTCCCTGCTGAGCAGAGAGCCTGATGCGGGGCTCGATCCCAGGACCCTGGGGGACCATGACCTGAGCCAAAGGCAGAGGCCTACCCCACTGAGCCACCCAGACACCCCTGAGGTGCTTTGATTTTTTTTTTTTTTTAATTAGAGAAGAAACAGGCACTCCTTTGTTGATGTTAGAGGAGTTGTCTTAGAGGCAGATTCCAAAATTGGTTGTCAGATTGACAAAATGATCATGTGAGACTCGGGATTTTTGAGGCCGTCACGTTCCAAGGAAGAATGCTAGCTAGCACTGTCTCTTAGTTCCCGGATGCAGGTCAGAGGTGACAAGGTCTTGGAGCACCTGTTACTTTTTTACTGCCGTGAACTAAATGTGTGCTCGGTGTGGAATAATTTCCTCCTTTTTCCTGGAGTCTTGGACTTTCCTAGTTTTATGGTCATCTCTCAGTTGAGCATTTTGTCATCCGTAGGTTGTATATTTTATTCTTAAATCTTCTAGTTATGTGGGAGTAGGGAGATAGGCTAAATTTTAAAATAAGAAAGGTTGTTAAATAATTGTATTCTGAAAGCTGGTGTTTG